CCCCCTTTATCTCTGTTAGTAATTGTTGTATGTACTTAGGTGCTCCTATATTGGGTGCATATATATTAACGAGTGTAATATCTTCATTTTGTATCACTCCTTTAATCATTATAAAATGTCCTTCTTTATCTTTCTTTATGGCCTTTGTTTTAAAGTCTATTTTGTCTGAAATCAGTACTGCAACACCTGCTTTTTTGGCTTTTCCGTTTGCATGGGATATCCTTTTCCATCCTTTCACTCTCAATCTATATGTGTCCTTCTCCCTCAAGTGGGTCTCTTGTATGCAGCATATTGAAGGTTCTTGCTTTATTATCCAGTCTGCCACTCTATGTCTTTTGACTGGAGCATTTAGTCCATTAACATTTACAGTAATTAATGATAGATGTGTGTTTATTGCCATTTTGAACTTATCTTTGCAGTTGAATTGGTATATCCTCTTTGTTCCTTTCTTCTTCCTTTTGTGTTTTGGTAATTTTCCTTTGTATTATCTATGTAGATTTCTTACAGAAACAAAAGATCAAAAGTTTGGATCTGACTGGAGATTGGACTTCTGCCTTTTAGTCCTGTGGAGGCTACAGAGAATGCCATGGGTGTCTCAGAGGTCAGGGAATGGCCCTAATGCTCAATTCTTCTGGGACACTTGGTGCTGGTGACCCCTCTCCTATACCAGATACCCACTGACCCAGGCTAAAAAGTCTAGCATTTTCCTAGCCTCCCATCGACAGTCAGAGACAGTCCTAAGGTGAGGCGGAGCTGGGGCAGGAGCTGATGGACAGTCCTAAGAGTCCAGTGTCAGTGGGCACTTTCAGGAACCCTGAAAAAAACATTCAGCAGTTTCTTCCTGCCCCAACTTTCTGCCCTAAGCATTACGACTGTGCTTTCACATTTTATTTTCATACTGTGCTTTTGCTCACTGTGGTCCTCCTTCTGAAATTACTTAGTTCATTCCAGTAAACTTTTTTTGAACATGGCTGTGTGCCAGGAACTGTCTTGGACCTTAGGTGAAGATAAGAGGGAATGGTTTGGTGGTGTGACAGATGAGTAAATAGGTAACAGTACGGTGATATAGTGCTACTATTGAGTCGGCACAGGGTGCCTTAGGAGCCATAGAGGTGTGCATCGAACTCTTGTTTGAGGAGAATGGAGTCTGGGAAAACTCCCTGGGGCAGAGAGTTGTCTTATCGTGAAGGATGACTGAAAATGAATAGCCAAGCAAAAAAGTGTGCGTTAAAATGGTGCAAATTTGTTTGTGGGAGTGGAGAATAATTTGTTTTTATTGATAGCAGTGAAATAGAATATACTTTCCTGGACAGCTTTGGATTAAGAACATTTTGCATTTTTGTAACAGTGTTCTTGTATAGCTCATTTTGTCCATAATTATGAGGTTCAGAAAAAAAAACAATTTGGGGGGGTGGGTATAACTCAGTGGTAGAGTGTGTGCTTAGTATGCATGGGGTCCTGGGTTCAATCCCAAGTACTCCCATTTTAAAAAAATAATTTTAAAAAATGAGAAAAAAATAATGGTTTATCTCTTACAGGAAAACCATATTTCTGTGCTACAAATACTTTATTTTTCTTTTTTAGTCTTGATCTTTTAGATGTTGTCTTGCCTACTACATTCTTAATTTTAAAAAATGTGTTCAGTATTAAGTTGCCCATTACAGTAACTTTCTTAAGAGAAAACTGACATTAAAAGGAGGGTACTTAAGGGGAGGGCATAGCTCAGTGGTAGAGCATGTACTTAACATGCATGAGGTCCTGGGTTCAATTCCCAGTACCTCCATTAAAAATAAATAAAATTAAAATAAATAAACCTAACCCCCCCAATACAAAAACAAGATTAAAAAAAAAGAAAAGGAAGATATTTAAGTACAGGTATTAAGTACAGCTGTCCCACTGTTTGATATAGTCAGAAAGGGAAGCTCTGTAGTGCTAGACATGGTCATAAATTTCTGGCTGTAGATTTAAAGTAGAAGAAATATGAAACCTGAATCCCTTTGGGAAAAACAAAACCTTTTTATGCTTCTACAGCTCCGCAAGGAATGACTTACTCTGCCTGGTACTTGGCCCCTTCAGCAGAAAAGTTGGGGATCTGGTGTGACCTGATTTCTCAGGCAAAACCTCTTCTTTTGAGTCAGGGAGAGACCCTTGCTAGGACTGGATATCGAGAAAAGTCTGAACAGAGTGAATAGGTGTTGCCTTCTGTTCTTTCCTGAACTCAACTTTGAATGTGAAGTAAACAGGAATAGTTGCCTCCCTCGTGGCTGTAACGTCTTGTAGCTCTGAAGTCAGATCCTTTAGAGAACTTAGAAGGGATCTGAGAGCTGGGAAGGGAAGAGAATATGGGCTTCTGTGTATAAAAAGATGGATGGAAGAGACTAAGTTGCATCATTGAACAGGAATTGGCCCCACTACCTCTGTACCTCTCATGCATCAGACAGTGTTGTACATGCTGAGGGAACACACAGCAGGGAACAAGACAGAATCCGTGTTCTTCATGGAGTGGTTATTCTGTGAACTCCAGGGAAATTGTAGCTTGCCAAATGTTTTGATTCCCTCCTTTCCTTTCTTCCCTTCTGTTAGGAAAGAAGAATAAGCTGAACAGACTCTGACCATTGGTTTTCAGCTCACCAGAACCTTCTGCCTAGCTCTCCTTTTGTGGCTCATGTGCTGCATCCTCTGCCCCCAGTGTGCAACCGGCCCCCAACGCAATGTGTGTTTGTCAAACCATGGAAGTGGGGCAGTATGGCAAGAACGCAGGTCGGGCTGGAGACCGAGGAGTCCTCCTGGAGCCCTTCATCCACCAGGTGGGCGGACACAGCAGCATGATGCGCTACGACGACCACACTGTGTGCAAGCCCCTCATCTCCCGGGAGCAGCGCTTCTATGAGTCCCTCCCTCCTGAAATGAAGGAGTTCACCCCTGAGTACAAAGGTCAGTCACTGGCCAGTTTGGGGAGAGCAGCAGCCTTGGGCTTACAAGTCCTTAGCTCCATTTTCCTTGTTTTGTGGCCATGTGAGGTGATTATAGGTCTCTGTTATCTCAAAACAGCAAAGTCACTTTCTTAAGTGGAATTTGAGGCTGAAGGTATCTGCAAGGTCTTTAGATCTTGAAAATTGAATTCATTGATAGATAAACTCAGGAATTCACAGCATTAGGTCCCATGCTGTTGTCAAGGTTTCCCCTGTTTGCTGGGATGATCTAAGAGAGAAGGGGCTGTACTACTCTGGTCCCAGAGGAGAAAGAGTTGGGTACTTTCCAGACAAGGCAGTGAGACAGCTGGCAAGGAGACTCTGGAGCTTGTGTCTGTATGTGCTGGAGAAATGAATTAATGGTAAGAAATTTACAGAAGGACTGGGGCCTGGAGGTCCTAACTTTTGAAGGAAAAATAACCTGTTTTAAAATGTAAATTAACTTTACAGACTAGAACCCCATGAATATATACCAGAATTTAAGTCACTTTATTTTAAAATCTGTTTTTGTCACTATGTTTATATATTTTTATGATTGTCCCTTGGGTGTAAGTTGTATTTTTTTGTTTTCCGCTTTTAACTTTTCCAAAGCTGTATGAATTCAGTCATGTTTGCATCATCCTTTATTTGGGGGATCCTTGATTTAGAAAAATCAACCAGTATCAGTATTGACTTTTGTTTCCTTAACTTTTTTTTTTAATTGTGGTAAAATATACATAACATAAAATTTACCATTTTTTTAAAAAGTATATAATTTAGAGGCATTAAATACATTCACAAGTTCTGTACCATTACCATTATCTATTTCCAGAACTTTTACATCACCTCAAATGAAAACTCTATACCCATTAAATTGTAACTCCCCGATTCCCCCTCAGCTGAACCCCAGTAATCTCTGATCTACTTTTATTTATTTGTTTGTTTGTTTGCTTTTACTGAAATACAGTCAATTACAATGTGTCTATCTCTGTACAGCACAATATCCCCATCATGTATACACATACATATATCAATTTTCATATTTCTAATCTATTTTCTGTCTACACATTTGCCTATTGTAGATATTTCATATAAGTGGAATCATGTAATTTTTGTCCTTTTGTGTCTGGCTTATTTTACTTAACATAATGTTTTCAGGGTTCATCCATGTTGTAGCACGTGTCAGAATTTCATTTGTTCTCATGTCTGAATACTATTCCATTGCAAATATATACCATATTTTGTTTATCCATTCATCTATTGATAGACACTTGGGTTGTTTCCACCTTTTGGCTATTATGAATGATGCTTCTGTGAGTATTACCTTACAAGAATCTGTTTGAGTCCCTGTTTTCACTTCTTTTGGGTATATACCTAGGAGTGAAATTGCTGGATTATGTGGTAATTCTGTGTTTAACTTTTTGAGGAGCTGACAAACTGTTTTCCACAGTTATTGTACCATTTGACATTCTTACCAGCAATGTTCTATTTCTCCACATCTTTACCAATACTTATTTTCCATTAAAAAGTATTATAGGCACCCTAGTGGGTGTGAAGTAGTATCTCGTTGTTTTGATATGCATTTTCTTAATGACTAATGAATGATGTTGATGTGCCATTGGCCATTTGTATACCTTCTCTGGAGAAATGTCTAGTCAAGTCCTTTGTTCAGTTTTGAATTAGATGGTTTATTTGCTATTGTTATCAAAACAGAATCAGAATATTGAATTTGGAGGAATAAATATTCTAAGGCTGCAAAACAGGGTGGAAGCCAGAATCAAACACACTGCCTTCTCTAAGTGGCTAAGAAACAACAGTTATGAATGCTTTATAAATGTAGCGTCAACTGCCTGCTTGTCCACACTCAACACATCCGTGACAAAGTCTGCTGCTATAAATATGCCAGAACCAGAAAGAGAACTATAGGCCCTGTTAGCTCGTGGAGTTCTTCTAATGCTAAGGGGGAAAAAAATCCCCTAAAATGGAGTTGAACCCTGGCCTCCAGAAAAATGTTTTCTAAATCACAACCACCAGAATGGGAAAAGTTAGATTTTCAAGGTGCCTCCCAGGGAAGGATTGTCAGTCATACATTAATTCAGTTTTCCCCCAAATCTTCTCTCAGAAGGGGATCAGAAGTCTCTAATTAGGCATAGCAAATCCTTAGTATCTACTTGATTTTCTTTCTTTGGGCTGCATTTTCACTGGAGAAGAATAAACACACTTTCTCAAATACAATTAAAATCGATCCCTTCTTTTTAGGTCAAATGAAGTCCAATTTATTCAAAGAAAATGGAAGATATTATTGATCCAATTTATGTATTTCAAAGACTGATAGCATAGGGTTTTTACTTTTTATTTTGAAATTAATATAAAATTACAGAAAAGTTACAAAAATAACAGTTTCTCTAATGCTGCTATGATACCAGTGTACCAGGTAAAGCCATATCACTAAGCAGGTCATGTCTCCATGTAGATTCATGTACTGGCTCTCCAACGTGCATGGCAGGACCATCAGCCCCACACCGGATGCAGGGCACATGTTGGAAGAGTCTGACCCATCTCTTCAACCTCTTGAGTCCTGCCAAAATGATGTTTTATTTTTATTTTATTTTTTCCCACCAAGATGATATTTTAAAATATCTGTATGAATTGAAAGCTGCAGCTGATGGTCTCTCCAAGATGATCAGATGCCAGATGTGGATTTGGATGTAACCAACAGAATCCAACCTGATGAGCCCACTATTTTATCAACCAGTGCATTGGAGTTAAAGTCAGTGTTTGAAAAGGATTACAGGACACTGAGAGACATCTTGATTAGTGCAAACCCTGCCTCCCCTCCCCTCCCATTCCCACCCCTCTTTTCTCCTCCTCTCTCCTCTCCTATTCCTTGTTTGAGGTGCACTGGCTACTCTGTGACCACTACAGGGTCTTGTCCACTGTTCACACACATTCAGCCATCAAGAGTGTGTCAGAAAACCTTCTCAAGTGCCTTGGCGAACAGACTAAAAAACAGCTTTGTTGTGAATATCAGCTGGGTTTTACTCTAGTTTAGAGGAATACTGAAGACTAAAATGAAGTTTGTTGTCCAGTTTGTCCCATTGGAGGAGAAGGGAACATTGCACGTTTTTTGTTCTGTTTGACAGGAAGCACAATGCTGTAAATGTAACCCTCGTAGATAGTTGGGTAGATATGGCTATTTTTCAGCTAAAAGAGGGAACCAGTAAAGAGGTCACTGTTCTCCGTGAATTCAGCTCTTAGGAAGGGCCCCTGGCTTGTTGGGAATTAACTCACTGTGGCAGAGGTTGTGCTGTGATCTGTGTTCCAGCCGACTGGATGCTGCAGTGTGATGGTGCCAGCCAATGCGCAGAAGTGGATGAAGGCCTGCGAAAACCTGGTTCTTTCTAACACTGTCCTCAGGTTCCTTAAGTGAATTCCAGTACCTGATTTTAAAGTGTTTAGATTTTAAGAATGGTGCATTTTCATGCCTATTGTTAGTACAGGGACTTATACTAAAATCAGAGTCTTTATTTAGGCCAGTTGTTGAGTGTCAATGAATAAAAGCATCATATTAAAAAAATAGCATAATTTATAATTATCAAAGCCAGGAAATGAACAATGATAAAATATTATTAGTTAATCTGTATACTTTATTCAAATTTTGGCAGTTTTCTCACTTATGTCCCTTTTCTGATCTAGGATTTCACATTGCATTTAGTCCTCCTTGGTCTCCTCTAGTCTGGGACAGTTTCTCAGTCTCATGGCCTTGACACTTTTGAAGAGTACTAGTAGTTATTTTGTAGAATGTCCCTAGATTTGGAATTGTGAATTGTCTTATATTTGTCATGGTTAGATTGAGATTAGTATTTTGAGCAATAGAAATTATTTATGTCCTCTTCAGTTTATCATGTCAGGAGATACATATTTTATTATTGGTGATTTAACTTTGATCACTTTGTTAAGATGGTGTCTGCCAGGCTTCTCCACCATAAAATTATTATTTTTCCCGTTGTAATTAATGAGTACCTAATGGGGAGTTACTTTGAGGCTTTTTAAATATCCTGTTTCTTATCTTACATTAGCCCATTAATTTTGAATTCATCGGTGTTTCTTGCCTGCAACAATTATTAATATGTTGCATGCCAGTGGTGACTTCTCTTTTCATCATTCCTTTTATATTTACTAATTAAAAAAAATTACAGTTCCATAAGGAAGACTTGTCCCTTCTCACCCATTTATCTATCAGTTTGGACTTACAAATATTTTATTCCTCAAATTGTTCTAGATTTGGCCACTGGAACTCCTTAACATTGGCTCTAGTGTGCTTTTGACATATACTTCCATCATTTTTGACTACTTCTTTACCTCTAGTTACCACAAGATGTTCCAGACTCATCTTGTGTTGTTTTTTTTTCAGGAACCAACCACTTCGGCAAGGAGCTCTTCTTTTTATTGTAGGGATGGTATTTAGAAAAACCAAGATCTTGGTGCTAAATGTTCTGGTTGCCACTGGAGTATCATTGCTTTTAAATCCTTCCAGCAGAAAGAAAATACATGTATAATACTAACCAACATGTACACACATATTTCTTTATTGCCAGAAGCACAGGTGTTTTAAAACTCAGCTAAGAAAAAATGCCAGTAGTAGTATTTATTTTGGCAATAGGTTAGAAGAGAGATTTTCATTTATTTAGTATGACCAGCTGTAGTCATCAGGTGTTACTGCTTGTAATACTAAGTGTGAAGTTCTAGGCTTCTTTGTCCTTATTCACAACTTTGCCTCACTTATCAAGTATTTTTTGAACATCTACTAGATGCCAGGCTCTGTGCTCGTTAGTGTAAAAGAAAAAAGGCCCATACCTTTATGGAACTCACATGCTTAAGTGAGAAACAAAGAATAAACAAATTATAGACAAAACAAGTATAGATTGTGATACGTACTATGAAGAAACTAATGTTCTGTAATTGAAAATAATGAAGCTTCCGGAACAGAACGTTTGATATAGGATGATCAGGGAAGGAGTGTCTGAGGAGACTTAAAGGATTGAGGAAGAGGAGCAGCTGTGGGCAAAGGGCAGTGGAAAGGATATTCCAAGCTTCCAAGCATAAGCTAAAGCCCTGAGGAGAAACAACAACTGCAAACAGAACTTGGATGTTCTAAGAACAGGTTCACCTCTTTCTGCCAACTAAGAGTTAAGAAAATGATCAAAAGGACTTGAATAAACATTTCGCCAGAGAAGATACACAAATGGTCAGTAAGCACATGAAAAGATACTCAACATCATTTGTCATTAGGGAAATGCAAATCAAAACCAAAATAGACACTACTCATACCCAGTGGATGGCTATTAAAAAGAAAGAAGAAAAGAACAAGTGTGCCAGTGATGTGGAGAAATAGGAACATTGCTGGTAAGAATGTCAAATGGTACAGCAACTGTGGAAAACAGTTTGTCAGCTCCTCAGAAGTTAAACACAGAATTACTACATAATCCAGCAATTCCACTCCTAGGTATATACCCAAAAGAAGTAAAAACAGGGACTCAAACAGATTCTTGTAAGTACTCACAGAAGCATCATTCATAATAGCCAAAAGATGGAAACAACCCAATTGTCCATCAACAGATGAATGGATAAACAAAATATGGTATATATTTGCAATGGAATAGTATTCAGTCATGAGAACAAATGAAGTTCTGACACGTGCTGCAACATGGATAAACCTTGAAAACATTATACTGAGTGAAATGAGCCAGACACAAAAGGACAAAAATTACATGATTCCACTTACATGAAATGTCTACAGTAGGCAAATGTGTAGAGACAGAAAGGAAACTACAGGTTACCAGGAGTTCTGGTGAGGGCGGAATAGGGAGTTATAACTTAATGGGTATAGAGTTTTCATTTCAGGTGATGCAAAAGTTCTGGAAATAGATAATGAAAATGGTGACACAACATTGTAAATGTATTTAAATAATGCCTCTGAATTGTACATTTAAAAGTGGTTAAAATGACAAATTTACGTTAGATATGTTTTTTACCATCATTTTAAAAAGTAAAACGTATATTTAAAAAAACCCAAAGCTCTACCCAAATGTAATTTATTTAAGCCAGTCTTACAAATGCCAAGAAAATTAGGGCTCTTATCAGATGAATTAAAAGACCATTGAGCAGGGGAGGCTATTATAGCTCAGTGATAGAGTGCATGTGTAGCACAAGGTCCTGGGTTCAATCCCCAGTACCTCCATTAAAAGATAAATAAAATAAAAAAACTAATTACTTCCCCCCTAAAAAAAGAAATTTAAAAAATAATGATAAAAGATCATTGATTTTCAAGTTCCTACCTGAATTCTGTCTATGTGTGAGTACGAGATAAGAAAATGTCAGAATCAAAAATATTTTTTTCTTAAACTAGTGTTGGATTGCATGATTCATTTAATTACCAGATCTAACCTACTCTTGGAGAGAGCTTCTTCCTGCCCTACCCACAGCTTAGCCATTTCTCCCCTGATCAGGCATGATGCTATCTGCCATTGGTAAGCTGGGGTACTCGGTGGTATGTGCCTGCAGAGAATTAAAGGTTTCCAGTGTAGGTTTAGATGCCCTTGCAAGACAAACAAATTGTAAAAGGAGAAAATGATGCATTTAGCTATATAAAATTTAAAACTTTTCAAAATACACCTTTAAAAAAAAGATATTTACAGAACATGAAACTGACCAAGGATTTTTTTCCAGAATGTATGTGTGTGTGTTTGTGTATATGCAGTTCAATAAGAATTCATGCAAATCAATAAGAGAAAAAACAAATCAGTAGGAAAATGAGCACAAATAAAGAAAATCAATGAAAAACCAAAGACCAAAGGGTGATTCTTTGGAAAGAACAATAAAGTAGATAAATCTCTAGCCAGATGAGGAAAAATAGAAGACATAAGGTTCTAATTTCAGAAATGACAGATGTGTCATCACTACAGTTTCTACCAGTATTTAAAAAGTAAAAGACTATTACTAACAATTTTATGCCAGTAAATTCTACAACTTGGATTAAATAGACAATTTCTTGCAAGACACAACTATGAAAACTGACTCAAGAAGAAATGAATAATTTGAATAGTTCTATCAAACAAATTGAAGTTGGAGTTTAAAGCATTCTATCAAAGAATACTTCAGGCTCACACGGCTTCCCTGGTAAATTCTACCAAATACCTGGAAGAAGGAAATACAAAAACTCTTCCAAAATATTGAAGTGAGAATATATCTTACTCCTCCAGAAAATTGAAGCGAGAATATACCTTACCTTGTGTAAGGCCATTAAAAGAAAATCCCTCATGAACCTAGACATAAAAAATTTGAACAAAATTTTAGATTAAATCCAAGACTATATTAAAAGGACATATGTCATGACCAAGTAGGTAGGGTTTACTTGAGTAATGCAAGATAGGTTCAATATTCAAAAGTTAATGTAATCCACCATGTTGATAAACTGAAAAAAATAAAATGATCTCAGTAGGTGCAGAAAAAGTGTATGACAGTATCCAACATCCATTCTTGATAAAACAAAATTAACAAAATTTTCAGCAAACTAAGAATAGAAGGAAAGTTCCTTAAACCTGATAGAAGGCATCTATGAAAAACTTAGTTAGCATAACACTTGATGATGAAACAGTTACTTTCACCCCTAAGATCAGGAACAAGACAAGGATGTCCATACTCTCTACTTCTAGTTGACATTTAACTTGGAGGTTCTGGCCAGTGTGGTTAGGCAAGAAAATGAAATAATTAAAGGTATCCAGATTGGAAAGAATGAACTAAAATTCTTTATTTGTAAACAACATAGAATTCTGTGTTCAGCCAAACCAGTCAAGAGTTGGAGTAGAATAAAGACCTGTAAAAGACTCAGAAAAGTGACCTCCTGAACACCCTTTCTTAGGAAGTTACTTGAAGATGTATTCCAGTCAAATAAGAAGTAAACCAAGAAGGGAAAAGGAGAGGATTATAGAAGGAATGACTCACTGGTCATCTGCAGCAAGGAGGGGCCCAGCATGGGAGCGGTGTGGCCGGCCTGGACACTCTAAATCATACACGGGAGGAGCCCAGGAAAGAAGGAATATTATAGACCATAGGGCATTCAAGCTGGAACAGAACTGAGGCTGTAGTAAAGACAGAGAGGGAGTTACAAAGGCAAAAACCTGTAGGCACGGTGGTCATCTGTGTAAGGAAGCTGGGGTACAGATGTGAAGCCCACTAAGGTGAAGTATACATTTAAGCAATGTAATGGGAAATACAAGAAAAAAGCGTCCATTTCACCTTGATGTTTTAAGAATTTTTTTCCTGAAAGGGCCCTGGGATTAGGACAGTGCCCTCCTGGAGAAGGAAATGGGCCAGAGAGAAGATATTCTTGGCCTGACATACTGACATATTCCTAAATGCTTCTCACTAATTCTCAGATTATAATGCCAGTTTTGCACACCGAAAGTGTAAAAGGAGAAGTGACAGAAAGCTGGATGGAAGTTAATTGAAGGTCAGCCTGGACCATTGGGGGGGAAAAAAAACCTTGAGGTAAATTTCTAGGTATTGTGTTTAACTCCTTTGGTAATGATCCAGAAGAAACTCTGAACAACCTGCTTGATAAAAATGGACACAACAAACTGTTTTGCATGAATACAACACGGAAAAGAGAAGGATGTTTCAACTTAGAAATGCTGGTGGTTCGGTGAGGCAGAAGTTCTGTTTGGTGAGCTTAGAATAGCCTGATGCTCAGTGGGCAGAAGATATATTTTGGGGACTGTCTTGGAGGCTGAAGTCTTGATGTCTGTCTAGGTGACACTGTCAGGCAGAAGGAAACCAGATCTGGAGGAGGACATAGGAAATGACAGTATCACAGAGGAGTTAAAAAGTCGAGGGTTAAATTATGTCAAGTGTGGATGTCACCTAGAGAATACAGTTTTTTTAATGGTACAGAAGGCAGTAGTTGAAAGTGAGAGGGCTAGATGATAAGAGAATGGGAAATAAATATAGGTTATCCAAAATCAAAGGTAAATAGTGGATTTGGGGGGAGGGGTGAGTGGTCAACTGTCTTCTGGAAAGCTGTGTACTAGTGATTGTTCCTACACTGGTCTACAGTTGAGTCATGGCAGCTGGAGTCATTGTGCTGTGGGACAGCAAGGGCCAGCAGTCTTTGCTGCGTGGACCCAACCTGTGTAGACATTTGTTGACTGGCTGCCTTTTTTTTTTTCTTAAACAGGTGTGGTGTCTGTCTGTTTTGAGGGAGACAGTGATGGTTACATTAACTTGGTGGCCTACCCTTATGTGGAAAGTGAGACGGTGGAGCAGGATGACACTCCAGAACGGGAGCAACCTCGGCGCAAACACTCCCGCCGGAGCCTGCACCGGTCAGGCAGTGGCAGTGACCACAAGGAGGAGAAAGCCAGCCTGTCCCTCGAAACCTCAGAGAGGTAAGAGGGTGGTGAGTGGGGCTGGAGGTGCCTATCTAGTCCTGTCAGCACAAATACTCAGAATATCTCCAGTCCTGCTACATCATGGGGAAGTAGGGCTCAAAGTTGCGGAAGGATGGTGGATGTTCTTGGGCCACCCACATAGGTGCAGCCTGCTGCCTGTGTTTCACCCCAGTGATGCCTGCTTCTGAGTATGGCTGTGGTTGGTTGAGAGAGAATGAAGCTCTGTTAGTCCTTTAGAAGCAAGAATGCCCTGTTTTCTCCAACTTGGTTATATCTCGCATCCCCAAGACAGAAGATCAAAGTGCATTGGTCCACAAAGGTTCCAACTGCTTTCTCAGCTGCAGGATGTCAGAGCGCAGTGGCAATGAGCAGCCGTCTAGACCAATGTTCTTTAAGGGTTTTGGGTGTCAGAGCTCTCTGAGACTCTGATATCAGCCTTTCATTGTACCTAAAATTTAGTTTATTGCATTGGAAATTGATTTTTCTCGTAGATTAGGAAAATAATCTGCAAAGAATTATGTTTCTTGATGTATCATATGAAAAAATGGTAAAACTCCTACTAGGGTGGCAATAATCAAAAGGACAGACAATAAAAGTTTGAATGAGGATGTAGAGAAAATGGAACCATCCTACATTGGTGATGGGAATGTAAAATAGTGCAGCTCTTCTGGGAAACAATTAGGAAGTTCTTCAAAAAGTTAAAGCCAGCAACCCTCTCCTAGGTATATACCCAAGAGAACTGAAAGAATATATTCACACACAAAACTTGTAACCTGATGTTTATAGCATCGTTATTCTTAACAGCCCAAAAGTGGAAACAACCCAAGTGTCCGTCAATTGATGAATGATAAATTAAATGTAGTGTATCTTACAATAGAATATTACTTAGCAGCAAAGAGGAATGGAGTACTGACACATGCTGCAACAATGGGTAAACCTTGAAAACATGCTGAGTGAAAAGCCAGTCACAGAAAATCACATATCCTATGATTCCATTTATATAAATTGTTCAGAATAAGGCAAGTCCATCTTTTCTGTCCAAGAGACAGAAAGCAGATCAGTGGATGCCAGGGACTGAGGGGGAGGGCAAGATGGGAAGTAGACCGGTTTGGTGACAGGGTTTTTGGGGAGTGATGAAAATGTCCCCAAAACTAGGTAGTGATGATGCTTTATGACTTCAAGAATATACTAAAAACACACACACTGAATTGTTAAATAAAAATATAACTAATGTAAATGAAAAATAATACGAGCTTCCTGAAACAAAGCAGAATCAAAATTGTCTGGTTAATTTACTTTATACATATTTAATCTCACTCAGAAATAAGTTTCAGTGAATAGGATTCTCTGTGACTTGACTCAGAAGTTGAAATTGGGACTTTTTTATCTCTGACATCAGATCACTTCAGCAACACAGGCTGCACATCCTGCCTGCTCATTACTACTTACTTATGCTAATACCATTTACTCACTTCAGTGGGCTTATGCATCTGGGCCTCCATTTCACCCCTCAGGAAGGTCTGTGGGTGGCAAATTAGACTTGATCCAGGCTCCCCCACACTGTGCAGTGAGACCCCAGAGGGTGACTTGTCTGAGCCCCTTAGCAATGTGTTGTGTTCTTCCTTCTTAGCTCCCAGGAGGCAAAGAGTCCAAAGGTGGAGCTCCACAGCCATTCAGATGTCCCTTTCCAGATGTTAGATGGCAACAGTGGTCTGAGTTCTGAGAAGATCAGCCACAACCCCTGGAGCCTGCGCTGTCACAAGCAGCAGCTGAGCCGCATGCGCTCTGAGTCCAAGGACCGAAAGCTCTACAGTATCCTTGTTTCTAGTCCAGCAGCACCTGCTACTGGGACCAGGGGTCCTGTTTCAGGGCACCTTCCAGTACCATGGCCGAGGCCCTCTCTGTTGAGGGGCCTGTCTGTTCTTATCTCCTTTTTTCCATACGTCCTTCCTCTTTGTCCTTATTTTCATCAACATGTTGTTTTTTTTTGCCTTTTGGGGCTGTTAAGACTGAAGCTTAAACCTGGCAGTTAGAAGAGTGTTGTCCAGTAGAACTGTCTGTGACAATGGAAGTATTCTGCATCTGTGCTAAAAAGTGTGGTAGCCACTACCCACACTGAGTAACTGAAATGTGGTTGCTGTGACTGAGTTACTGAATTTTAAATTTAATCAACTAAAATCTAAATTAAAGTTACCAGGCGTGGATAGTGGCTACCATATTTATCAGTGCATGTCCAGAGTCAGGGATCTTTGTGTGCGTGCATATATACACGTGTGTATTTCTCCCCTCCCAAAAGATAATTGAAAAGTAGTATGTTTGATTTTGGTGGTTTTTTTTTCTCTCTAAGGTTAACACTGTATCTCTACCATGTAAAATAGTTTTAAGATACTAAAGGTAAAAAAATGTTATGAAATAGAAAGTCTTAAGGTCGTTTAGTGTTTTGAAGCAGTAGACAATAAATAACAAGTACTTACCAAGAAAGTGAGGGCATGTGTGCTGAGTATGTACTTACTCAGTTTTCCTAAGTCTTTTGAGGGAGGAACTGCTACAGTTCCCATTTGTAGGTGAGTAAATAGAAGCGCAGGGGCGGTTAAGTGTTGTGCCAGAGCCAGTGAGTGGCCAAAGCAGGATTTGAGAGCACATGCTCTCAGGTATTATGAGATATTTTTGCAGCTTTCTTTGTTTTATTGTCACTTGTTTATAGGTTATAGCAAGTGACAAGACTAAAAGGCTACAGATTTAATGGTCTTCTATAAATTATTCTTTAAAGAATTAGGGGATGTCAAAATGTTCATCATCAGAGTGATGCTTAGTGTCTTATCCTCCAAGACGATCTGATTGTTTCATAGTCCCAGTTGTGGAATTGAGGTCCATGCCATGACCCCGGGTGACTTTTAGCAGACACATGACAAGCCTGTACTTTTATCTGAGATTGTTGCAGACAGTAGATTTAGATGAGGACATGGATATAAATGCCAGGCGGTCAGGACCACAGAGCTGTTTTGAGCAGAAGGTCCTAGAAGTACTAAGGAATAAGTGGAAATAAATGGTCTGCTAGTTTGAAATTGAGTTAGAAAATGGTAAGATAGAAATTTAAATCCAGCTTTTTCTAAAGATTCCTGCTTGGGAATGTTAAATCTGGTTTCTCATTTTTGTAGTAGTGCTACAAAGAAGTCATCTTCCTTATTTCTTAGGCCTGGGTGAAGTACTGGATTAAGTAGGGCCTTGGTTTGCACATGGTGCCAGGGATGTATGTGAAACTGCCAGATCTTCTTTGGCTTATTTATGTATGCTTGTAAGACAGATCTAAAAGTAAAATAAAAATGATGACATCAACAAATGTGGTATATACATACAGTGGAAAATTACTTAGCCATAAAAAGGAATGAAATTTTGTCATATGCTACGATATGGATGAACCTTGAAAACAGTTTGCTAAGTGAAATAGCCAAGACATAAAAGGACAAATATTATATGACTCTACTTGTATGAAGTACCTAGAACAGGCAAATTCATAGAGACAGAAAGTGAAGTAGTGGTTACCAGGGGATGAGGGTGGGGGAAGAATGGGAATTATTATTTAATGGGTACAGTTTCTAGTTTCTATTTGGGAAGATAAAGTTTTGGAGATTGGATGGTGGTGATGGTTGCACAGTAATGTAAATGTATTTAATGCCACTGAACTGTACACTTAAAAATGGTTAAATTAGGGGTGGGGTATAGCTCAGTGGCAGAGCGCATGTTTAGCATGCATGAGCTCTTGAGTTTAATCCCCAGGACCTCCATTAGAAAGAAAGAGAGAGACTGTTCTAACATACTTTAAAAAGTTCTATTAAAGAGAAAATTGAAAAAATGGTTAAATTGGTAAATTTTATATATATTTTACCACAGTTAAGTTTTTCTTTTTTTTTAAATAGTAAGTCAGTGGTGTGAAATCCACATTTGAGAGTTTGTGAGGTGAATACAGATTACATCAGAAGAGAATGCCATTCCCTTTCTATAGAAAAACTTCATTGTGCTTTCCTGCCTGGGGTTGGTGAGTATGGTTGTTACTCCCCTTGACTGTGGTCCAGAGTTCCTCCTGCTTGAGAACGTGGTGCACCACTTCAAGTACCCCTGTGTGCTGGACCTGAAGATGGGCACCCGGCAGCACGGTGACGACGCATCAGCGGAGAAGGCAGCCCGGCAGATGCGGAAGTGCGAGCAGAGTACGTCGGCTACGCTGGGTGTCAGGGTCTGTGGCATGCAGGTGAGTGAGAGTAGGTGCTTTCACTTGGTGAAAGCCTAGGTGCTGCTGCCTGCGTGTGTGCCTGCCTGCTGTCCACACCGGCTATCCTCCTGGCCCGTGATGGTCTAGAGTCTCCTCTGAGAGGGTGCATCCCCCACAGGTGCTGAGTGCATCTTTATAGATATGTTGCCTGAGCCCTCTTGTCCTTACCTGGGGACCTTGGTCTGGGCTCCAGTGCAGAAGCACTGTGAGAACCTGTTGCCTTGTTGCTGGGGCAAGTAAGACTCTTGTCTGTCAAGATGTTCCTAGTTCGAGTCCAGCTGGCCTCCCAGGGCAGCTTGGAGGAGGCCTCCAAAGGTGATGGCAGAAAATCTGAAGGTTGGGTCTCTGCACTCTCCTGGCTTTACCACAGGAAAACTTAGGGTCAGCTTGTACTGACCACTCCAGTTGAGCAGAAAAGCTCAGATTTGTGGGAAGTACTTTCCAGACAGTGCTTGCCCAGGGCACTGTGAAGTCATCAGTCCTCCCTGGTACTCACCTGTCTGTCTCCTGGGGTTTCAGGTGTACCAGCTGGACACAGGGCATTACCTCTGCAGGAACAAGTACTATGGCCGTGGGTTGTCCATTGAAGGCTTCCGCAACGCCCTCTATCAGTACCTGCACAACGGCCTGGACCTGCGGCGTGACCTTTTTGAGCCCATCCTGAGCAAACTGAGGGGCCTGAAAGCTGTGCTGGAGCGGCAGGCCTCCTACCGCTTCTACTCCAGTTCCCTGCTTGTCATCTATGATGGCAAGGAGTGCCGGGCTGAGTCCTACCTGGACCGCCGGTCTGAAATGCGTCTCAAGCACCTGGACACAGGGCTCCCTGAGGTGGCTTCACCCTGTGGCCCTAGCACCAGCCCCAGCAGCACCAGCCCCGAGGCGGGCCCCTCCTCTCCACCCAAGGTGGATGTCCGCATGATCGACTTTGCACACAGCACGTTCAAGGGCTTCCGGGATGACCCTACTGTGCATGATGGGCCTGACCGAGGCTATGTGTTTGGCCTGGAGAACCTCATCAGCATCATGGAACAGATGCGGGACGAGAACCAGTAGGCCCAACTCTGGGTCCCCAGAACCCCTTCCTCTCCACCCGCAGGCAGGGACCATTGCTCTGAACTCGCCGTGAGGACACACAGACTTGCTTTTAAAGGGTTATATTTCTCTTTGGTGTAAACTAAAAGAAATGTTTTTAGCTGTAGCCTGGAATCCATATATATAAAGTGAAGGAGGGCAGAACACATCCCTTCAGCCAGGCTTCTTAGTTCTACGGCTCTGCTGTGTCCAGGCTGACTTAGGAAGGAAGAGGGGCCCCTGGTGGGCTTGCCAACAGGGATAGATTACCCTTGGACATTGGTTTCTCTTGCCTAGGTCTTTGGGGTCTGTCGCTGCAGAGTCCTGCTGGTTGTGATGTGAAGCCTTGTGTTGGCGCAGGGCCCATCCATGCTCACTCATCCCTTATTCCTCGGATGTAGAGGGATTGGGTGCCCATCTCTTGGGGGACTTTGTAACTTGTGGGTATCAGCCAGCTCTTATAACAGATGTCCCCAGGGCACCATAGGGCCAAGTGGACACAGCTGGACCCATCCTTCTTGGTTCTGATTTTGGCTTGAGTCTAGATTCATGAAGCTGTGCTGAAGCCAGCTTATGACAGAGGGCAGGCCCTGGGGTCCCCAGGCACTCTTTGGCACTTGAACCTGCTCCTCCTCCTGCCTGCACACCCTAGCCTGCCTTTCTCACCAATATCCCTTGCCTATGGAGGCTGGCTACCCACTCATGCCCTACTGGAGGGGGCCTTGCTCTGTTTGCTGAGTGTTCCAGCAGGCCGTGGCGCCTCTGGTGGCTCTTGCCCAGACAGTATTTCCAATTCTTGTGCTGTGGGTAGGAGTCGTCTTCCTCTATTTGGGCAGCTGTGGGATGGGCTGCTCCTCCCAGGGCTCAAAGGCTGTGGTCTGCTCAGGGTCTCACCTCTCCCCAGGCCAAGCTCCAGGAGGAGCTCCAGGCTTGTGAGGGAGAACTTTAAGCTTGTTGGCTTATAGGGATATTGTCTGGGCCCTGGGTGCAGGTACCCAGGTTCTGCTACTGAGAGTTTTGTCTTATCAGTACTGGGGTCCATCTGTCTGTTTGTCCATCTGCCAGCTCCTGTTTCTTGGGGTCTTTCCCTGGGGTGTAGCTTTGTTCGTTAGTAAATACTGATTTCCTTCATTCCTCCCTCAGAGGAATATTCTCTTTACCATTTCTGAGGTTAGCTTTTGCCCCTCTGCCCTTCTTCAGCAGGTGCTACCTTTTTACAAAGAACTGGTAGCAAGATAAACTGGAGGAGGTGTTTCCCTGCTGGCCTAGCACCCTCTCTGTGAGCCTGGAGTGTGGCCTCCTCAACACTCAGCACTGACAGTGGCACAGTGAAGGCCCAAGGGGTGACCCCTGCCTTTCGCATGGTTTTAGTTTTTGCTGCCAGCCCTTAATGGAATAGAGACCTGTCCCTTCTGACATATGTGACCAGGATGTGACACTGCACTCATCCTTTGTCGAGGTTAGTGCCCTCACTACCGAGCCTAGGGCCACTGTCATTGTCACTTTTGGCATGTCCCTGTTTGGGCATTAAAAGTAAGCCTGCTAGCCTGTGTCTGTGAGAGGACTAACTTCCTGGCCCTTAGAGTTGCAGCCCCACATCTTAATTAGGGCTCCTTGATGGGATCCCATCTCTCTCGGCCCTCTCTCTCACCTTGGTGCCAGTGGTGGGCAGGTTCCCATTCCTTGGGGCTAGGAGGGACAACTTGTTTGTTTGTGGTCAGTAATGACCATCTTCTCTCCTGTGATAATTCTGTGGCTACAGCCATAGGGGCAGTAGCTCTTCATTAATGTGGATAGTCATTTCCTGGTAGGGCAGAGGGTAAGACAAAGGGTCTGGGGCCACTTGGGACCCCCTTGATGTAACCTGTCCAGCCTGGGGGCGTGCTCTGCCTCCCGAGTTCCTGTGTTTTGGGAGCAATGCTGCCCCATTCCATTCTTCATAGAGAGAGAGGCTGTATGCACTTACAGTCACTGTTTTCCTGGCACCAAAAAAAGCAGGGCTGGGATTTGCTGCTTCTCCCTCAGGGCAGGGCCCCTCTTTTCAGCACTTTTGAACACTTAGGAGACTCAGAACTGTTACCTGGTGGGTGGTGGGCATGTGTCTGCACACGCTATTGCTCCCTGCTTCATGCCAGGGAGCCCTGTTTCTGCTGGGCCGTGCCTTCCCAGCCCCAACTTGGGACCAAAGTGCAAGATGGGATCACGGGTTGGGGCGCTCAAGTGGCCCCTCTCTATTATAGTGCTTCCCTGGGCCAAGTCGAACCAGCCCCCTAGCGGGGAGGAATGGGCGGTGCTTAAAGAGGAAGGGGACCAGTGTAGCAACTTGCCGGGGACCCCACCCCTCCCTCACATCGGGCCTGTGCAGTGGGCGTGGGGATTCCCCCTAAGGGGCCAAAGGCCTGGGCTATTTATTTCAGGCAGGAGCTGCTGCTGACTCACTCACATCTGGCCATGGGCACCACCCCTAGATGCAGATTGCTTTGAACTTTAAAGCTGTTTAATTTGTTTTTGTTTGTGCCGGTTTAAAAAATGTTTTAATTGGGAGAACCCTGGGGAGAGCCTGGTTCCTTTGCTTCTTGGGGAACTGTAAGGCCTCGCCTCGAGGACCTCTCTGCTCCACTCTTCTGGAAGCTGCCTAAGCTTGTCCAACACCGCCCGAGCCCTGCGCCCTGATACGACACATGGCTCCGCTTCTGGGCAGGTTGCCTTTTCTCGGGACCTTGCGTGCGGGGGAGGGGGTGCTCCAGCCTTGGGCCGAGCCCGTCCCTTTCTGTACACCTAGCGCTGCCCGCCCCGCTTGTGTCTGAGGTCGTGTCTGTCAAAATAAAGCCGCTAGAAACTGAGGCATGTCCCTGTTTTTGAGAAAACCCCGTGGCCTCCAGAAGACAGGCGTAGTCCAAGCCTTTCTCCTAGCGGGGCGGGGCCGGAAGCGGCTGGGGCACAGCAGACCCTGGCAAGGGAGGGAAGGAAGCCTCGCCCTTGGCGCCGGCTCCGCCTTTGGTTCCGCCAATGACCGGCTGACCCGCGGGTCCGGGTCTCGGTCCCCATGGCAGCCCGGCGCGCTCAGCTCTAATTGGCTGCGTCTGCCTGAGCGCCGCGCCCCGGCGTTCCGACGCCGACGGCCGTGCCACGTACGCGGCGGCTGATTGGCTCGCCCTGGCCCACGTCACTGCCCGCACGGGTTAGGCCCCAGTTCCGGGCCCGCCACTCTGGCGTCGCGTCCTGTTTCGCCGTGGCCCTGGCTCCAGCTCCGTCGTCAGCGCGGAGTGAGCGGACAGGGTAGAGCCCGAGTCGGTCAGTTTGGCGGGTGAAGGGCACAGGGCTGGGCACGGCGGCGGGAGTGTGCGGCAGGGGTCAGCCAGGCGGGCCGCGGACACCTCGGAGCCCGGGACTTACTCTCCGGCCGCCTGCAGGCGCAATGAAGGCACTGATCTTGGTGGGCGGCTATGGGACGCGCCTGCGGCCGCTGACGCTAAGCATCCCGAAGCCGCTGGTGGATTTCTGCAATAAGCCCATCTTACTGCACCAAGTGGAGGCGCTGGCCGCGGTAAGGCCCGGGGCTGGGGTCTTGGTAGGACCTGGGGGATGAGGGACGGCCAGAGACTGGGGGTCCGGGATGCCTGTGCCTTCGGCTGAGCCTGCCTTGTGGCCGGCGCTTTTCTGTCCCACAGGCAGGCGTGGACCACGTGATTTTGGCTGTGAGTTATATGTCTCAGGTGCTGGAGAAGGAAATGAAGGCTCAGGAGCAAAGGGTGAGTCACACTTTAGGTTCTCTCCCTTGGTCCCCACTCAACTTCCCACCTTGGTGGGAGGAAACCTGACTGGGGCCTTCTCCCTTCCAGCTAGGAATCCGAATCTCTATGTCCCATGAAGAGGAGCCTTTGGGAACAGGTCAGTAGGATAGGAAGGTCCCTTGGGGAGGGCTTAAGAGTCAGGAAAGGAGCAAGACTCAACCTGGATGAGGCCTGCCAAGCCTGATTCAGGACCTTAGATCCCAAAATGATGGTGACCCGCCCCCCTCCCCCAGCTGGGCCCCTGGCACTGGCCCGTGACCTGCTCTCTGAGACTGCAGACCCTTTCTTCGTCCTCAACAGTGACGTGATCTGCGACTTTCCCTTCCAAGCCATGATGCAGTTCCACCGGCACCATGGCCAGGAGGGCTCTATTGTGGTAAGGGAGCGAGTCTTTCCTCTCCGATACTCCTGCCCTCCATGCCCAGCCTCTCACTCCTAGCCCTGAACTGCTCCCCTGATGTTGTGGGTGCAGAGATGAGCAGTATGTGTGTCTGTAAGCTCTTGGGGGCACAGCCCCTGAGATTAAAGACAGCATGTATATCAAGAGTCAGGAACACTGGGCTAGGCTTGAGGTCCCCCCGCACTCAGGTGACCAAAGTGGAAGAACCCTCTAAGTACGGTGTGGTGGTGTGTGAGGCTGACACAGGCCGAATTCACCGGTTCGTGGAGAAGCCGCAGGTGTTTGTGTCCAACAAGATCAATGCAGGCATGTACATCCTGAGCCCTGCAGTGCTGCGCCGCATCCAGGTGTGTAGAAGCCAGCTGAGTGGGCTCGGGCAGGGCAGGCCACCACTGCCACAACCTTGCTCATGAGCTGCCCACTCCCACAGCTGCAGCCTACGTCCATTGAGAAGGAGATCTTCCCCGTCATGGCCAAGGAGGGGCAGCTCTATGCCATGGAGTTGCAGGGTGAGGCAGGGAGGCCACAGGGTGGGGGTGGTCTGTGGCTGGCCTGAGCCCCCTGATGCATTCTCTCCCTACAGGCTTCTGGATGGACATTGGGCAGCCCAAGGATTTCCTCACTGGCATGTGCCTCTACCTACAGTCACTGCGACAGAAGCAGCCTGAGCAACTGTGCTCAGGCCCAGGCATAGTGGGCAACGTGCTGGTGGTGAGGCCCATGCTCAGCCCATCATCAACCCCCTCAGTCTTGGGGAACAAATGGCCCACTTTTGTTTTCCCCACTGTTCTCAGGACCCCAGTGCCCGCATTGGCAAGAACTGCAGCATCGGCCCCAACGTGAGCCTGGGCCCTGGTGTGGTGGTGGAGGATGGCGTGTGTATCCGGCGGTGCACAGTGCTGCGAGATGCCCACATCCGTTCCCACTCCTGGCTAGAGTCCTGCATCGTAGGCTGGCGCTGCCGTGTGGGCCAGTGGGTAAGCCTCTGGGCTGGGCCAGGTGGGGAGAGTGGCAGGGAATGCCCCTGCGTCACTGACAAGGCCTGCCCCCTCCCCTCCGAGGTGCGTATGGAGAACGTGACCGTGCTGGGCGAGGACGTCATAGTTAACGACGAGCTCTACCTCAACGGGGCCAGTGTGCTGCCCCACAAGTCTATTGGCGAGTCGGTGCCGGAGCCTCGCATCATCATGTGAGAGGATGCCTTGGGGCTAGCTGAGCTCCCATTTCCTTCCTGGCAAGGGGAGCACCGGCTCAACCCATCAGAAGGCCCTGGACTCATTGCCATTTGGCTGGGGAGGACTGGATGAGGATGAAGCTGTTGTACACCTGCCTTCTGCAGTGGACATACTCTGGCAGGATCCTTGTTGGGCACACCCCACAAAGCCCACTCCCTCAAGGAGGGCCAAGGCAGGACTGTATGTAATAATAATTTAATGCTCACTGTGGCCCTGACTGAAAGTCGAGCTCAGGCACAATTAGGGCATGGCTGGGCTCCCGCCAACGAAGTTACACACAGGCAAGGAGGTTGGATGTGGGGCTGGTGGGTGGAGGATAGGGCAAGGGGAGCTCATAAATAGGGCCCAGCCTGGGTTTGGGTTCAAGGGTGGGGACTCCTGCTGTGTGGGCCAGGCAGGCCTAGGCAGCCGAGGAAGTGGCACTTGTGTTGGCTGCTTTCTCCCAGTCCTCTACGGACACGATGGTGGTTTTGCAGAAAAAGCAATCCTTGTTGTTCATCAGGTGCTGGTTGATGCAGGCTCTACAACAGGGGATGGCATGTGGGGGCCTGTGTGTCCCTGCTGTTCCCTGCCCAACCTCCTGTGCCTGTGGGGCCCACTTACTTGCAAGACTTGTGGCCACAAGGCTGGAACACAGCAGAAATGGGGTGAGCATAGCAGATGGGGCAGAGGTCTTCCTCACTGGTGGGCTGCAGGGAGCAGAGTACAGGGTGGGCTGGAGTTGGATGCCCAGACAAATCGACATATACTATGCACACAATTGTGCTGATAAGTATTTGGGTGCTGTGGACCCACATGCTGTGGCTTCACTCACCAGGGAGGCAGCTGCTGCCTGGGCAGATGCAGAGGTCAGGTGTGCCAGCATCTGTTCCACTTGGGCCAGCTCCTCCACACTAATGTAATCTGTGTCTGGGGAGTGGTAGGAGGTATCAGGCCAAATGTGGCCTGAGAACCCAGTGCCTCTTGAATACTCCCAGCTTGGGAATTTGTTCTTAAGACTGCCGACCTGGCCCAACCCCAAATCCCTCTCTCCCCTGACCCACCCCCAGCCCACTCACAGCTCTGTAGGGAGAAGCGCTTCCGGTCAGGGGCAGGCAGGGCAGTGCCAGGGGCCGGAGGCTCTGGCTGCCCCAGGAGATAGCATATAGAGCGGAGCTGGAAGCAGGGATCAGCCAGGAGCACTGATGTGGCTCGCTCTCTCCTAGGTGGGAGAAGGTGCAAGGGTAGTCAGAAGGCTGTGCCTGTCTTGAAATCAATGTCTATTGAAGAGGTGGGGTGGTGTGACAATCCAACCCATTTGCATTATTGCCCCCTTCACTTCACCCCATCCCTTGGCTTCTCAGCAGTCCCCCTCAACTAAGTCCAAAATCCCCGTAAGACCCACATAGCCAGGGTACCAGTTTTAAGAAGGCTCAGGGTAAATTGTGATACTCCACCTACCCCTCTAATACATAACTCCTCAAAGAAAACACATTAGCAGCTTAAAACTATACTTCCCAGGTTTCCCCTTCTCTTCCGGGAGATGAGTGCTCTGGAAAGCTGCAGGCCAAGTGCAGGCTGAGGCGCTGGAGGGACAGACTCGTGCCCCCTCTGGCGGCCACGCGGGGTCAGTGATCGCCAGGGGGCGTGGCTGCCCCGCCCCCTCAGTGGGAGCCATTGGGAGCCTGAGGCCCCGCCTCCTGAGCAAGCACCTCCCAGAAAGTATTTAGAAGCTGAGCCTTCAGGAAGGCGCTCGGAGAGAGCTGGGAAAAGCGGAGGAGGAAGTACTGAGCAGAGCGTGGCCTTAGCTCGTAACTACAAACCTGGAACCAGGGAGCGGGAGCAGCCGGCCTCGTGGGGCGGAGCCCGTACCCTGCCTCTCCAGCCATCAGTCATTTAGCGCCCAGCACGTCGAGCCAGAGAAGTGGGTGAGTCTCAGATCTGCGTCCTAAGCGGAGCTGCCTCGCCCCACCCCTGGAAGTGGCAGCCATGGCCCGGCTAGTGCTGCAGGGCACACTGCTGTGCATGCTGCGCGTCGGGTTAGGCACCCCGGACTCCGAGGGCTTTCTGCCCCCTGGGCCCCATAATTGCCCCTACAAATGTGTCTGCGCTGCCGACCTGCTGAGCTGCGCCGGCTTGGGGCTGCGGGATGTGCCGGTTGCATTACCAGTCACGGCTGCAGACCTCGACCTAAGCCACAATGCGCTCCAGCACCTGCGCCCCGGCTGGTTGGCGCCCCTCTCCCGGCTGCGTGCCCTGCATTTAAATCACAATGAGCTGAATGTGCTCGGTCGTGGAGTCTTCAACAATGCCAGCGGCCTACGGCTGCTTGATTTATCATCTAATGCCCTGCGGGCGCTTGGCCGCCACGACCTCGATGGGCTAGGGGCACTGGAGATGCTGCTGCTGTTCAATAACCACCTGGCACACTTGGACGAGCATGCCTTCCACGGCCTGCGTGCGCTCAGTCGTCTCTACCTGGGCTGCAACCAACTCGCATCCTTCTCTTTCCACCATCTGCACGGGCTGGGTGCTACCCACCTACTTACCCTGGATCTCTCCTCCAACCGCCTGGGACGCATCTCCATACCTGACCTGGCCGCACTGCCAGCCTTTCTCAAGAATGGCCTTTACTTGCACAACAACCCATTACCCTGTGACTGCCACCTCTACCACCTGCTTCAGCGCTGGCACCAGCGGGGACTAAATGCTGTGAGTGACTTCACACGCGAGTACACGTGCCTGGCCTTCAAAGTGCCCACATCCCGCGTGCGCTTTTTTGACCACAGCCGTGTCTTTGAGAACTGCTCAGCTGCCATGGCTCTGGGTCTAGAGCGGCCTGAAGAGCAGCTGCATGTGCAGGTGGGACGGTCCCTGAGGCTACACTGTAACACCAGTGCCCCAGCCATGCGCATTGCCTGGGTCTCGCCGCAGCATGAGCTGCTCGTGGCACCAGGATCTCGCGACGGCAGCATTGCAGTGCTGGCTGATGGCACCTTGGCCATTGGCAACGTGCAGACAAGGCACCAGGGTGTCTTTGTGTGCCTGGCCACCGGGCCCCGCCTGCATCACAACCAGACACACGAGTACAACGTGAGCGTGCACTTCCCACACCCTGAGCCTGAGGCTTTCAACACAGGCTTCACCACACTGCTGGGCTGTGCCGTGGGCCTGGTGCTCGTGCTGCTCTACCTATTCGCACCGCCCTGCCCTGGCTGCCGCCGCTGCTACCATCACACCTGCCGCTGCCGCCGCTGGCCCCGAACACCCAGCCCACTCCAGGAGCTGAGCGCACAGTCCTCAGTGCTCAGCACCACGCCACCCGACGCACCCAGCCGCAAGGCCAGTGTCCACAAGCATGTGGTCTTTCTGGAGCCTGGCAGGAGGGGCCTCAATGGTCGTGTGCAGCTGGCAGTAGCTGAGGACTTTGACCTCTACAATCCCGTGGGCCTGCGACTCCAGGCTGGCTCTGAGTCTGCTAGCTCCACAGGCTCCGAGGGTCTGGTGATGACCTAGGCTGCCAAGGGCCCCCATCCAGGCCACTGCCTGCCCGCTGCTTGCCCTGTTCCTTGCTGCTGCCTAGAAAACTGCCAGATGTTGGTAGAAGCACTGGGCTTGGTCCTCCAGCCCCGATGTGGGCCTCAACATCAACCACAGTGACCCCACTCACTGGTACAGGGGTTGGGTTCCCCAGCCTCTCTCCTGCTCCACCCCAGCACAGGACCTAAAGGCCCCAGGCCATACCAGGGCCTGCTTGTGCCCACATTCCTTGGGACCTCCTGGCCAAATGTCCCATGAAGATTGGAACTGAGGCCCATCTGGAGGAACCCTTGCATTAGAGCCCCAGGTCCATTCTCAGGGGCTGAGGCAGCCCTCAAGGAGTGGTGGTAAAGGACTGAAGCATAACCGCTTTCCCTTTTCCAAGCAGATGGGAAGGGAATGGCCCATGGGGGACAAGGAGGAGGACCTCAAAGGAAGACGTAGCCCCCACCCTCAGAGTGGAAGGAGGAATTATAAGCCCTCCTTCTGGTGAAATACAACTCCCCACAGGCCACTCTGAGGGCAGAGCCTCTCCCATCAGCTCACAGCACAGTAGTAAGGGGCACCAGGGCCTGTGCCCTAGCTTTTCAGCAGTAAAAAGCCTGCTGAGCACAGCCAAGATGGGAGGGCCGAGCCGGAACTCACTGTCTCTCGAGAGTAGAATCCTCTTAAGGGCTGGCACTGGTCTCGGCCTAATGGCTGAAGCAGTGCCCTGGCTTCATATGCATCTCACCACTCCCACTGCAGGGAGGCAGGGAAGGGGGGGTCTGGGAACTCCTCCTGAGTGGGGGGCCCCTACAAGTGTCCTGGATCCAGTTACTGTGGAGTTTCTTAATAAAGGTAGTATATGCTCGTCGCTGGAGCTGTCACAGACTCAGGTTAACGGTGTGTGTGCTCATAATCCCAGCAGTGCCATCCTAGACATCGCAGGATGGCACCCCGTCCCTACCACAGAGCCTTAGGTTCCCCTGCCCCTGCCTGAGGCATAGCCACAGCCAGCAGCTCTGACCATGACCAGGGCACCCTGCTCTGCTGAAGTCTTGGCTTCTACTTAGAGCTGCTGCTGCTCTTACACTGCCTTTCCTCCACCCCCAGACCTGATACTAAGGTCCCTGTGAGAGACAAGGAAACTGAGCTGTGGGGAGGCACTGCCCAGCCCCCTCCCCATCAGACAAGCCCAGCTCCCACAGGGGCCCCCAGTCCCCAACACTCACCCTGAGGCTGGGCCGTGCACCAGAAGCCGCACCAGGATGCCTGTCACCGCCACCAGAATAGGGTAGTGGTCCACGCTCTCTAGGCCTAAGACGGGAAGGAAGGGGATGAGCTACGCATGCGCTCCTGCTGTAGGGGCTCCACCCCTGCCTGGCTGACGTCATCCACGCCTCCCACTGTCTTCCCCACAGAAGGGTGAGCTAGGCTGGCAGTGCCAAGCCTGACTGTCCCCGTACAGACTGTAGAATCAGGCAGCACTGCTCCTGGCAGAGAAACCAAGGCCTGTGGTGTGCTGGGTGCCGGGCATCTAGGTCCTCACCAGGCAGCCGCAGGGTGACCACACGATCAAATAGGTTCCTCTCAGCTGTCACCCGGTTCAGCACCTGATTCAGCAGCTGTGAGGGCAGGAACCCACTGGTGGATAGGTGGGCTTACAATTGGGGTGTCCCCAGGGTGCCAACCCTCCTTGCCCAGATGGACATACCTGTGCAAGACGCCGCAGTAGCATCTCAGAGGTGGGCCGGGCCCAGTCGAGGAATATCTCAGGCACCAGCGTGATGGTCATCTCTAAGACCCGCAGCAGGCTGACTGAGAGGTCAAAGCAGGTGGCACATACCTTGAGCTGCCGGCTGTCCACAAAGTTCCGCTCCAGGCGTTCAGCAGCCTGCTGGATCTGAGCCGCCAACAGAGAGATGGGCGGCAGTCAGTGGCCTGGCCATACCACAGGTCATGCCTCATCCTCTGCAGCTCCCTCACCCATGAGGTCACCCCGTGACCCACCTCCTGGATCATGCCAATGAACTCAGAGAAGGCCCAGTTGAGCTGGTTGAGGACACTGTTGAGGAAGCTGGGTGCCACGTCGGGACCCTCCCGCAGCAGGTCTGCCATGTGCTGCTGTAGCAGGGTGGAGGGGCAGGGCTCTGGGAGACGTGGGAAAGAGGAGCATCAGGGACTCCAGTCAGTGGCCCCTGCTTTTCTGCCTGTGCCCTCACTCACTGGGCTGTTGGTGTAAGGGCAGAGGCTCCCTGGGAATGCTCAAGTCATGATGGCAGGGGGACAGGGTGCAGTACCACCTGGGGGTTAGGGCTAAATCTGTCCCCTCCCTCTGCTGAGCAAACCGCAGGCTGCAGTTGTTCCCAGCACCACCCCGACCCAGTTCTAGAACAGCCTCTTAGCCCCAACCTGATCCCCAGCAAGTTCTCAGTAACATGCCCTTCAGGAGAGGGCTAGACTTAGACGGAGTAACCTAGACTCCTCCACTCCTATCAAGGCCATTTCTCCCAAGAGCCTAATCGGAGCCCTGCCATCCTCCACTGTCCTCTGCTGCCCTTGGCCTGGCCTTGGCACATGGCCAAAGTGGTGGGTGCCAAGTCTGAGCTGACAGGCGGCAGTAACCAGAGGCCTCAGCTGCACCCAGGCTGGGTATACCTCCCCCGCGCTAATCAATAGTTCCTGCAGCATCAGGATGTGAATCTAGCCCCACTGCTGCTCTCCATGTGCAGCACAGGCCCACCCTGGAGGCAGGACCCTGACAACCAGCAAGGACTTGCTTTGTGACTTTGCACAAGGCACTCAGGCTCTGGGGACCCCTTTGGTCCAAAACACTGCCCACAAGGGCAGAACCATCCATGTGAGAACCATTGTAGGGTGAGTACAACATGAGGCAGGCAGACTCTGGAAGCAGGACAGCCTGAGACTTGGGGCTGGGCCTAGTGAAGGTCCTCAGGCTCACAGGGCTTTGCAGCGCCACAGGCGCAGGACAGAATGCAGCCTTTGCTCCCAACCAAAGGCCCCTTCCTCCAGGAAGCTCCATGGACACCCTGTGGGGCCCTGGCCAACCCCTAGCTTATGCCTCTGCCTTGACTCAGGTATCCAGGGCCTGGCACCAGCAGATAGAAATGAAGGGGCAGAACATGGTGTTGGGACAAGGCTGGAGATCAGGGAGCTGGCTCAGAGGGCAAAGGACAGCGTCCTCACTTTGCATAAGCTGCCAGCAGCCTGGGAAGATGCTGCCCCTTTTCACTGTGACCCATGCAGAGTGTTCAGGATCAAAGGGCACATGTGGAACTGGAGAGTAAGGGAACTTGAGTGTCCTTGCACTGGGAAGAAGCAGGGAAACAGAAACCTCATGGGACAGACAGGGAGTTTGGACCAACATCAGTCCAGGACTAGGGCTGGAGGAAGTGGGGAAAGTCTGAGAGAACCTTAGAGCAGTGGGCAAGGGCCCCCAGCCTGTAAAACTGGATACTCACTCTGGAGGCTGGGTAAATTGGCATCCTCAGGTTTGGTCTTCAGCAGGTGTGGCAACCGAGTATAACGGTACCCGAACCCACAGCCCTAGGGGTGGGGTCAGTGGGAGGTCAGTGGGGCAGGGCAGGGCACCCCTCCCTCATCCCCACCAGCCAGCCACAGCCACCCCGCCTCCAGCCAGGCTTACCCTCCAGAGCCGCACCAGGATCCAGTTGGTCTGGGCCCAGGGCCGCTGCTCATAGGGAGCCAGGAGGCTCCTCACCATGGCGATGCGCCTGCAAGGGCAAGGGGTGGTCGGGCACGTGGTAAGGCTGGGCATGGTGCTGTGCAGGCCAGAGTGCATGCCCCCCTGCCCCTGGGCCCCAACTCACTGCTCCTCAGGGATCCGCTCCACAGCCCGCAGGGAGTTTGGGTAGCACACATAGCTGGCCAGGGCCTGCATCAGTGAATCACGGATGTCTGCCGGAACAGGCCATGCCTCAGCAGGTATCTGGCATGAGCCCTGGTCCCCATGCATCACTCCTACCTGGCTGGCATTCTACACAGAAAATAGCCAGCCAGAGGTGCCACCCCGTCCCCATCCCCCGAGCCCTCTGTAGGGCACCTCACCAGTACCCACGATGCGTGTGTCGGCAAAGTGTTTGGCAAGGATGGCAGCCAGGCGGGTCAGGGTCTCTTCGTAGCCTGCAGAGTGGGGTAGTAGGAGCAGCTGACTAGGAGTACAGATTCCAGGGACAGGCACATCCCTTGTTGGGTTGGCTTGGGTAGCAGGCAGGTCCAGAGCTGGCTCCAAGGGCCAGTATGAGCCCAAGCCAGCATCTGAGGACCTCAGGCAGGGCATTCACTAACAGTTGGCGAGAGGCTAAGCCACAGACTCACTACAGGGGTTGGGCGGGTCCCAGCGGGAAGACAGGTTCTGGAAAGAGTTCTGCCCGTGCTCAAACCCACCTCAGCACACATATCTTGAGCAGTCAAAGCCCCTGGGGCACCCAGAGCTCCACTTCTTGAGAACAAAGCCTGCACCTAGGCCTAGGGCAGGGCAGGGGGCCTGACAGCTCCCAGCCTGATCCCAACATCAACTGCCAAGCCTGGCCTGGAATCAGTGGTCTGCAAGAAGCCCAGACTCCTACGTGGCCACCAACAGGGCCCCCCACCCCTTGCTGTGATCTGCCTGGGATGCCACACCCCATGGCCAGTGCCAGGGCGGCAGGATGAGAGGCCAGCTGGCTCCTGGGCCCCAGCAGCACCAAGAAGGAAATGAAAGCCAGGGCAGGGCGGGTACTCCATTTTGTCTGTTTCCCTCCCAACACCAGGGAGGAGCTGTTGGTTGTGGCTGCCGGTCCTAGAGCAGGGCTCTCCACCCCTTGGGACTTTTGCAAATTCTTACTTGATGCTGGGCAGGGCAGAGTAGGACCTGCCTCACCTCCTTCTCACAGGGATGTGTGCAGCTGGACCATGAAGGCTCAGCAAGGCTGTAAGGGCTCACTCCAAAGACCCCCTTTTCTGCCCCCTCCCAGCCTGCGTGGCCCCATCACCTGGGAGCTCCTCCACGCTGTGCACGGGGCCAAAGTAATTCTTGAGGGCGCTGTAGCTGTTGATGGCCACACTCAGGTAGAACTCAGGCATGAAGGCAAAGAGAGAACCCGTGCGGTCGCCATGCTCGATGGTCCGCAGGCAGACGCGCAGCAGCCAGTAGATGTCCTGCATCTTCTCCTGCAGGAGGCACATGCACGCTGCTGGGCTGTTCACAGGAAGAGGCACGGGGCACGGTCCCGTCTGGGGATTAGGAAGGGCCTCCCAGGACTACGACATGAAAACTGAGAAATGGATTTCCAGAAGTGGGAGCAGTGGCTCAGGCAGGGACGATCAAATACTGGTCTGGGCAGGCAAGAATGGCCACCTAGTCTGGAGAGGGTAGCACTACAACCCAGACCAGAACTCTGATTTGCATTTTTTTAAGGTACAGAAGGTTTTAAGTGAGAGAGTGCCGTGTGATCAGAAGTCTGTGTCAGAACACTGCCCAGAGCAGAAGGGGCTGCAGGGGCAA